TATGGATATGTATAGCAGACTTATGAATCTTCTTATCTCACATGTTCCAACAACTTTATTAGGTCTGCATGGAAATTCTTAACACATACTTGACAAAAGCTTTCCAACAAAATGATGATAAAATCCCTTGGAGCAGTCTCAAATATCTTATTGGGGAGGTGAGTGCTTACGTCACTACGGATGGTAAAAGGATCTGGATAGAAGAAGCTTCCTTTCTGCGGGGGCTGCATCCCCACGTCAGGCTGAGAATCTCTCCTGGGCGGTCTTGAAACTCCCACGTAACCCTGAGCGAGTCACTTCATCTCATTGTCTTGATGAAATAGGGCCATGGGTGTAACTGCACAACAGGGGAGTTACGGTGCTAAATTAATTTTGAGTGAGAGAGCCCTTGGGATCCTCTATGGAAGGTACCGAGCAGCACAGCTTCACAGCGGGGTGCTCCCCGTGGGACCTGCACGGGTGCTCCCAGAGCTCCCGCGCTGCCGTGCGGGGTGGGAGCTGGGCCCTTCACTGTGGCTGCTGTGACACGAGATCCTGCAGAGAGCTGTTCCCTTGCAGCACTTTGTCACAGCCGAGCGTGGGCTGGTACCTGAGGAAGGTGCCGCGGCACAGAAATGACCAAGACTGGTCATCAGAGCGCCCGCAGCAGCTCTCTCCAGACCAAGTCCTGCTTGTTCCCCCTCCAGGGGGGCTAGAGGAGATGGACTCGGTTGCCCCAAGGGAGATGCTGTTAGACCGTGCAGTCCCTGCAAAAGCGAAGAGTATTTTGGACCTTTCAGTGATTTTTAACTGTATTTGCTTCTCCAAAAGTGCTAGAATACTGATGTCACTGTTTCCTAGGTCATGTACGGCGGACGCGTGATTGATAGCTTTGATCGTCGCATTCTCTCCGTCTACATGGATGAGTACCTTGGTGATTTCTTATTTGACACATTCCAAGTGTTTCATTTTTATAAAAACGACACGGTTGATTATAAAATTCCACAAGGGACTGTAAAAGATGACTTTGTTGGTAAGAAATGCTTTTGCTTTTCCTGCCATGTTGAGTTAGCATTAAAAAAAAAAGGCGACTTATAGTGTACATTCTTTCCATGCAACCATTGCTGGGTAGGAGAAGTTGGAAGGAACTTCTTTGGGCATTGTGTGTGTACGTGCTGTGGTTATCATCCACTGAGGATACTCTTCTTGCTTTGTATGTGCAGCCCTTTGTAGTGAGTTTACCATCCAGCTCCTCATTTTGTTAAAAAGAAAATAAATCCCCAGGTAAACAGCATGTTAATTTTGTTATTATTAAGCGATAGGTTGCCCTGGGTTGTGTGGGTTCGTGCCTATTTCATGCTTTAAAATGTTTATTTGATCCTTGCAGTGTTTCCACAGCAGCTATAGCATTGTTTGTCTCAAGCAGAGCAGTAACAAAGCCCTGCTTCTGGCGGGGGCTGCGGTTCAGGGCTGGCAGCCCCAGGAAGTGTGTTTGTGCATTGCAGAGGCGATCGAATCGCTGCCCCTCGCCAACACTCCGGAGGTGTTTGGTCTCCACGCCAATGCTGAGATCGGGTATTACACACAGGCCCTTCGCGATATATGGGCTCATCTTCTCGACCTGCAGCCTCAAACAAGTACGTTCCCTCTTGCTTTGAATTATTTTTGTAAGTGAGGGATAACGAGGTGGTGAGCTACCCGCCACGGCACGGGGTGCCCGGCTCTGGCACGTCAGGGCTGGGCAGGGGGGGGAGTGAGGAGGCTGAGCCCGGCCAGCGCCGACGGGCACAGTCTGAGACACCGGGGGAGTCTTGTGGGGCAACTGTGGTGCTGCCGGGGGTGGGAGACTGTGAGGCCAAAAGACGAGTTGGCTCTCAAAGTTCTCTTGGAGAATTAATACTAGAGGGGGAAGCCTGTGCTGATTTAGTCTCACGGAACCATTTTGGTTTCAGGTGAAACTGGTGTGGGAATTAGTCGCGATGAATATATTGCCAATGTTGCTAAGGATATAGAAAACAAAATACCGCAAGTGTTTGATCTTGGCCAGATCCGGAAAGGTTTTGGACCAGACATATCCCCCATGACTGTGGTGCTGTTGCAGGAACTGGAACGTTTTAATAAGTTGATTGTTCGAATGGCGAAGTCACTGGCCGAACTACGGCGTGTAAGTAGGAGCCCAGCTACTGCTGCTCCCAGCCCCTCGGGCTGCCCCGGGCAGCGCTCAGCCTCTCCCCCCCCCTTTCCAGGCCTTGGCTGGGGAAGTTGGGATGAGCAGCGAACTGGAGGATGTGGCTCGGGCTCTCTTTAACGGGCAGATTCCCGGCATCTGGCGGCGGCTAGCCCCCGACACCCTCAAAACACTTGGAAACTGGATTATTTTCTTTCAAGCTCGGTACCACCAGTACAGCAGCTGGGTAAGGGAGTGCCTCGGGTCAGCTTTTTGTTTTGTTACCTGCACGATACGCAGTGCACACACACGGCTAACGCCTCTCACCACCCGGGGGATCGGGCTGCGGGGCTGCAGGCTGGGCGCGGGCTGTAGGTTCTGTGATTGCAGGTTGCCGAGCGGGAGCTGAAGGTGCTGTGGCTCTCGGGGCTGCACGTGCCGCAGGCGTACCTGACGGCTCTGGTCCAGGCCAGCTGCAGGAGGAACGCCTGGGCCCTGGACCACGCCAGCCTCTACACCGAGGTAACCACCTACTGGGCCCCAGAAGACGTGGCGGAAGTGTCAGCTCAAGGTGGGGTTTTATGATTGCTTGGCAAAAATAATGACGTAGTCACAAAGTGCTTGGCTTATTAAGTAAAGGACTTGGATCACACCTCCACAGACAGGAGCCTCGGTTTTGCAGTTCACAGTCCACAGGATTTCAGGCTGGGATGGAGCTGGGTTCTGGTTCCTGCTCAGCCCCTGCAGCCACACTGGGGATCAGAGCTTACGCCCCTCCCTTGCGCTCACGCTTTCTCAATGGCTGGAACTTCATCACTAAGAGCAGGTTTATAAAGGTCTATTTACACCACAAATAATCTATTGAAATGTATTTCAACAAAAAATACAACTAGGTATGATTTATTATGTAAATGTATCTTTATGAAGTCTAGTGAAGTGCTGGGGTTTCAACCCCAAGCCCCAAATTAAGGCTGACATATGGGCGATTCCCACAGCCCTTCCCAAAGGGGGGGTGAGTTTCCCTTTAGGCTTCCCCCCAGGGTGGGCCGGCCTGGCAGACAGAGCCATTGGGTCAATGAGCCCCAGGGGTCTGCATTGAGTAACCCGAGGTCAGTGTCCCACTTGGGGACAACAGCTGGGACCCCTTGAGACAGGGGCAGTGTCTGTGTGTGAGGTGGGTGCCCTGTGCAGAGTTCCCTGTTGGGGAAGGACCTCCCGCCTCCCTGGGACTGGGCTCCACTCAGGTCTGGCTTTTGTAAATGTGGGCTGTGTAGAGATTCAGTGTGTGGCTTCCTTGGTCTTATGTATTTGGCTTGTTGACTCGGTTGTCTTCTGTCCCTTCTACGGGAGACTGCATGTCACCATTGATCCCACCCATTGTTGGTCGTGTGGTGTCGTTGTTGGGGTCAGTGGATTGATGTCGATTATGTATAATCTGACTGACTTGTTTGTACCCCAGCGCTCACCCATGTGCTGACCCTTTTGTATCAAATACAATCTGGTTATTGGTTCATCTTTATGCTGGCTGTGTCCATTATGCTAGGCCTGATAATTGGCAAAACAAGTCTCTATGCCTGGCACTGCTCTGCTGAATGTAACAAACTCCAGGGGCAGGGGACAGCCCAGCAATGCCTTTGAGCACTACACCTTGGCTGGGGCTTGGGCAAGTAATTGGAGGATGGCATCTTTGGTGGGGAGGAAAACTGCAAGAAAATCAGTATTTATTCCTAATAATGTTTATCATATGTAGTGCAATTGAAACATTTTTAATTTGAAAAAAAAAAAAAGAAAATTTAAACACAGTTAGGTCATGGTTGTATTATAAAAACAAACACCAGGGATAAAATACACCTCGGTGGAGCTGCAGTTTGAAACGTGGGGATTTTGTTGTGACAGCGCGTGCAGGAAGCGCCGTTCTCTTACATGGGTTTTCCAGGAGCCGAAGTTAATTGGCTGCTGCGTTCTCTGCCCGCACAGGCTGCTGCTTTGTGTCTGGCCTCTTTCTGGAAGGAGCGGGCTGGGACGTGGCACGGAGCTGCCTGACCCGCAGCGAGCCCCGCGTGCCCGTGGTGGAGCTGCCCCTCCTGAAGATCATCCCCAGCGCGGGGCGGGGGCTGCGGCGCCAGGTACTGCTGCTCCCACAGCCCCGCCCGGGCCAAGCCCCCGCGTTTAGCCTCACCCCCGGCCTGGCACGGCGGCAGCTGGCACTTCTTCTTACGTCAGCCACCATTCAGGTTTATCTGTTCTGGGGGTCTTTTCCATTCTGGCAGCAATGGACAGGCCTCCTGGGACATTCTTACACTCCTGCTACTCTTGGAATTATTTCCCCTTAGCAATTAATGACATAAAGGGTGTTTACATTTTCTGGGTAGCAGATATTTAAGACTTCTAACAAAAAAAGTCTATTTCTGAAGACGGTCATCTCTCCTAGAGCCCCTTCCTGTCTCCAGTCTCATGCAGTTCCTTCCCCCTTGCTCCTCTCTTTCAGAACACCCTCCGGACCCCCGTGTACACAACCTCCCTGCGCAGGAACGCGATGGGCCTTGGCCTCGTTTTTGAAGCTGATCTCTACACCACAAAGCACATTTCCCACTGGGTCCTTCAGGGCGTCTGTCTCACCTTGAATGCAGACTGACACTTGGAATTTGGCACTAGATTTTCCCCAAGATCAAACTAAGCAAAGATTCACACCCCAGGTGGGAGAGCATTTGCTAGTACTACCAATAAACACATTTGAAGAGTGTTATTTTTGTAATTTGCATTTCCTTTTCAAAAGGCTCCAAGCGGGTCTCTGTACACAAAAGAGGTAATAGGTGAGTTAAGTCTCGCGCACACAAAGACTAAGCTTTGCCTGTATGGTTGTAAGAAGTGTTTTTAATTGCCCAAAGCATCACTTCTGCTGTGCTTCGAAGCGGTGCCTTCCATCGTCCTTCAACAAGCAGCAGGGAGATCAGTCATACAATAGCTCGCCATAAAAATATGGCAACACCCACCGCAGCAGCCAGAGCCGCTGCTGGTTACTGCAAAACACTTCAAACCAGCAAACCCCACAGTAACACTTGCTTTAACCAACCCTTTTCCAGGCACGCAGCTCCTCCCTACCCCCAGCTGGCAAGGCCTGGCGCAGGAGAGCCTCTCTCGGCCTTGCCAGGGGTGAGGGTGCACAGGGGCAGGTGGCCACGGGGCTAGTGGACCTTCAAACCCCCCCTCCGGGCCACCACACCGCACGGGAAAAACAGCTTCTGTCACCCTGCCAGACAGACACACACCAACACAGCTGCAGAAAAAGCTTAAGGGGGGGCAGACTACAGCTGGCAAGGGGAAGGGAAGAGGGCGGGCAGGGATCCTTCACCAGCTTTCAGAGAGCTCACGCGTTCCGAGGTTTTGAAGGCACATCATAAGCTTAGCAGCATTTGGGAGCCGTTGGTTCTTGCTGGTCCTACTCAGAGGCTGCAGACAAGAGTGAAGCAGAGGTGAGCTGGAGGCGCTGATCAGAATTTAAGAAAAAAATGGTCAAATTTGTGCTCCTTTCCCAAAGTTACATGCTCTCACAGCTCGTGGTATGCCTTTCTCTCCTAGGAAAAAAATAATTAAAAAAGAATCAAGTTGTCTTAACAGCTGTCAGGTCTACCTGTTGCTTACTAGGAAGGAGTAGGGGAATTGGGGCAAGTGCAAGGCAAGTCCATTCCAATCCACGAGGATAAAAGTGAAGGACGCCAGGTTCTCCTCCTCTGTGAATCAGTTACATCACTTAAGGTTAAATACATTTTAGAGGGACAGTTCAGGTTTCTAAGCTGGCAGAAGCCAGCACTGTCTGCTGATTCCCAGAACAAGACTAAGGTTTTTCAGGACACAAAAATAATCCCTTTACAAAAAAAAGTGCAGGTTAGAGCATAAAGAACCATTTCCATATTGGATAGCCAGTTACATTTTCTCCCTGGAAAAGGAGCTCTGAGCCAGAGTGGAAGGTGCTACAAGTGCAGAGTACTGACTAGTGTGAGATGTGTCATGGAGCCATTCAGGTTAAAACAAACGTGAAACACACAACAAAAACCCCCCACAACCAACCCAGTGTTCATACTCTTTCTGTGAGGATCACTAACCCTTTAAGAGAGTGCTCTATGCCCCCCGCCCCCCCTTTTTAAAAAATTTTTTTTACTTAAAGCCACAAACCAAAGCATTTAGGATTAATCAAGTAACACTTGCTGGGACTCTCAGGATTTTGAGAAAGAAAAACTATGAACACAATTTGCAGTCGAGAGCACGTGCCCGGGAGGGAAAAGATGTCCTTGGTTCATTCTGAAGTGTACGTACGTCTGCAATATTTTCAATGCTACGGTGCGAAGGGCTTTGTCCTGGAGGCGAGTGTTGTGTATGAAGTGCTCACACACACAGTGAAGACAAAAGAACCACTGAGAGTTCAAACGTCAACAGCCAATACGTATCGCTGCAGGTTTACAGGTAAGTTCATTTTCACTAATATCGATTAATAACGCAGCCTGCAGCCTTGTGCCTTTGTCCACAGGTGTAGTTACAATACATGGAGCAGTGCTCAGAAGCAAGCGGTCAGGAACCCCTGATTTGGCCACAGCATCGAGTAGTTATACACCTTGCCGTATGAACACAGTCCTACTGGGTTTCGTTAGAGGAGCGTAATTATTCATGATGTATCTGGAAGAAGTTTGGCATGCATGGGGCATCAAAAGAAACTTTACTGCAGGTGCTATTTATCCTACAGGATCACAGTGCATAAAGAGCAACAGAGTAGAGCGGTTCAGTGACTTTCCTCAGACAGTCCTGTCCGTCCCTGAGTGCTTTCTGACCACTTTGCTGCCGTGGACCTGATCCACCGCCAGCGTCTCGACCTGGGGCTGCGGCGGGGGGGGCGCGCCGTGGTGGATGCGATGCGCCACCCCGATGTGCGCCTTGTGCGGCTTCTCTCGGGCGGGGCTCTGCGCTTCCCCGCCTGCGCGGTCGGAGGCGATCGGCGGAATAACTAACGGCCTCTCCTTAATAAGATGAACCTCCGCCGTCTCCCTGGCCAGCAGAAAGGGCGTGGGATCGGGCATAGCATCCACGGGCTCTCGGAGCAGCAGCTTCCGGCTCTCCGACCCTATTCTGTAGGCCTCTTCAAACTCGGGGTTGAGCGGTGTTGACAGGCTCTTCTTCATCCTGCGCCGTGGAGTCTCGGGCAGTTTATCTTTGGGGGGGGACGGCTTATAGTTGGACAGGACGGGGCTGCCAGAAGGGGTCCCCTCCGAAGTCCCACTTGAACTCATCAGCTTCTTCTTAGTAGCATGCAGTTGAGAAGTTAAATAAGCAATAGTGCTCGCTCTCTGCTCTAGTTCGCTTGACAACATGTTGAGCTTATGGCTTTTCATTTTTAGTTCTTCCAAGTACTTCTTTTCTCTTTCTTTAATAGTGTTTTCCAGCACCATTATCATGGCATTCTTTTGTTCAAGTTCTTTCAATAATTCATTATTTGCAGCCTCTTTGGCTTTCAGCTGAGCTTCAAGATCTTCACACTTTCTTTTGAGTTCATCGCTTCTTGAACTACCGATTCCTAGAATAGAAAAAGCAGAAGCGTTTCAAGTTAACAATAGCCACTAAGTAAAATAGTGCAATAGGGTTGCTTTTGCCATCCCAAAGTCATAAGAGAAAGCCTCTGAACAACATTGCTCTGTCAAGAAATACCACTGAGTGCAGGCAAAGCTGCTCAGTTGCTTTGCTAAATTTGCCCATATTCTCTCTTATTTGCAATACACACCCTGTCTGTCCCACACCACTCTGATATGGGGGGAGGCATGTCACCCCCAGGGAGCATTTTATTCCTGTGCTTCACCTGCTGATAACATAATACATCCAAAACAACTAGATTCGTGTGTGTGTGTGTGTGTGTGTGTGTATATATATATGTGTATATATATATATATGTATGTTTCTCTCTCTAAAAATATACATATATAAAAGCTTTGTGGTGCAATTAAAGTACCAGCTAAGTTTTAATAACAGTCTCACTCTTCTGTCCCTAAAATTCCTGACCCCTGTTCCCATACAGCATGCAGGGAACTGTCTAGTGAGAGAGAGGAGTCAGCAGTTCTACACTCTACTCCTGGCTCTTTCAAAGATTTCCTGTGTGACCTTGGTAAAGAGCTTGTGACATTTATTTCATAAATAATAGTAAGTCCGGAAAGTAGAAAACTACTCGTGTCTTTAGAATTTATACAGTCAACATGCCAAGCGCAAAGTATTCTCACCTACTTGTAACGGAGAAAATACAAACATTGAAAAAGATGCAGAAGTTTAACAGGAACATTAAAAGAAAAATGCTATGTATTCCTTACCTGACAAGTCTGAACTCTTTACAGTCAGCTCATAGGTTAAATCTGAGGAAAAAAGTTGGTTTTGTTAGATCATCATCTACCCCATACACCACCTGGTGAGCATGTTTACAATGGCATACACCAATGAAAACTGAACTAACTCTTCCCCCTCAACACCCCACCCCCCCCAAGCAATAATAGGAAATCAACTGCAAATTATCAAATCTATAAAACAACTGAAACTACCAGGTAACACACTGCTTAATGTCAGGTGACACTTTTGCTTAATGACCACACAGCTGTGCCCCGAGACGCAGGCTGGTCGCCCTCCATGCACCCTGGTGCGGGGCTGCGTTGCTGAGGTGCCAGTGCTGCAGCAGGCGGCAGTTACTCCCCTCCTGGGAGAAGGATGAAGGGCGGAACCGGCATCGGCACCTCTCCCCGGTACCTGTGCAGTGCTGCTGCAGGCGGCGGATCTCGGCGTGCAGGCCCTTCAGCGTGTTGGCATGTTCTCGCTGGAGAAATAACAGATTCTTCTGGGCACTCTGCAGCTGGTTCTCCAGGTTTGAAGTTGCCATCCTGACATGCAGTTACCCTGCCAGTAAACAGGTGTAGAATTGTAACAGTGAATTACCTTGCATGTACAAAGATCTTCACTACAGCCAAGGTCAGCAGGAATAGCTGAATTCTATTAATGAATTGATAAGCAACCAAGCACATGCCACAAGAAGTTCATGACTATTTCAGTTGAAAATGCTCTAAATTCATAGAAAGCCCCATGATACCCTAGGCCAGAGCAGTGCAGGGAAACCATTTGTTTGGAGTTAATACATTTAAAGGATTAACTTCAGACAGACTAAGTCACTAATCCTGTTACAAGATAAAAGTGGAGTTCTGAGAAACGGGCTAGTATGTCCCTCTGTCTTGTGGGGGTTTTCCAGTTACCTCCAGGGCTACAGGAGTTAGTAACGTCCCTGGACAAGAAGCACCGAACGCGCCATCTCTGAAGAGACCCGCAGCTGGGCCCAGCGGTGCCGTCAGGGCCCGGTGCGCTCGCTGGGGCCCGCGTGGGAGCGAGCTCTGGCTGCTCCTGCATCTCCTCAGAATCCGCCCGGTGTGGGCCCACGGCACCGGAGACTGCTGTCAGCCCTGATGCCAGGGAACAAGACAACTGACAAGGACGACGTTTCATTTAAAGGGAAAACAAACAGATTTGTCTTGCTCATGAGTACATGAAAAACCGTTACACCACTGGGTTTTCCTTGCAGAACAGCCTTACAAAACTAGGCCTGGATGCAGCAGTGCTCAGACTCGGATAAAGACAGAAATGGTTAACTGTAAGGTGCCCAGAGGCATCCTGAAGACGCCTGCACTGCCAGTGTTACTACTGCTCCTGCTAAGGAACGATGGTTTTACACATACCCACAGGCCAAAGAGCCGAGAAACATCAGTCTGGTGGAGCTGGAGATAGACTCCCAAATGAATTCCCTGATGGAGAGGTAAAAATAGCTCCTGGCACCAGGCACAGCCAGATGCTTCCCCTGCAGAAGCACACGCTGTGACATTTCAAGGAGCACCTGGAGCAGCACCCAGACAAGCACTAATAGGAGTTACCAGGTCTCCAGTGAGATCTGATCACCAGGTCTGTCATGACACAATTTTGTTTACTGTCCTCTTCCCTAGCGAAATTTCCACTTAAAAATAAGCGTACTAATGAGAAAAAGCAACGACGACAGCATGCAGTCCTCCCGCAGCCTCCAAGCACAGAATCGCTCAGGTATGCTTTAGTATTCTTGAATTTCACGGTGCAATCATCGCCCCCCTGCATACGCAGGGCACGCCATGCTGCGACAGCTGGGGTGTGCGGTGCTGCTCCACCCACTGCTGCTTGAGAGAGGCTGCTGGCTCTACACGAGAAGAGCTTTCCAGAAACCTATGTCTTTAATAGCGCCACACTACTATACTTTAAATTTCTTTAGCAAGAAAGCTGTCATGCTTGAGAAGCTTTCTGAAAACTCTGGGAAGCCAACCTTCTTGGGCAGCTCAGGAACACAACAGCAGCACAAAAATGGGTGCACAGACAAAATTCTAGAGAGCCAGGCTCATGGGGACACCAGGGTGACTGGCAGTAGCACACACTGGGTGGGAACTGCACACGCCATGACAAGAGGTAGACTTTCTGGGGGACAGAGCAGCGCAGGGAACTGTCACAGCCCCTGGCCAACCATCAGGAGTGACGAGAGGTTTATGAAGTGCCTCTGCACGCTCCCTGTGCGCAGCCAGTGCTCTGGCCTGGCCGGGGGCCGCAGCAGCCCTCTCCTGCTGCCAAGGGATCCAGCCAAGCAGGAGGGAGAACTCATAGATCAGCTAGAGACTGATAAGTTGGTTACAACGTTGGGTTAAACACTGCTGATGCAGTGTTTAGCTCTGTCATTATGACATAGGCTAAAATCAGTGATCTGTGTAGCTTTGTAAAATCAACGACAGTGTTTAGGTTACAGAGATAAGAAAAGAATCTGGACTGCCATTGCCTGGACAACCATATGCAATGGCATTACAACTACGGTCTGTCATTACAGGACTACATGTGTATAAGACAGAACTTAATTCTGTCTGTGGCTGTCTCATGGGCCATGCCAAGTGTCCTCCATTGGGCTCTTTCTAGTATGTAGTTTTATGACAAAAATTTGATTCTACAAGTTTAAAATTGGTAGAGCATACACTCAGAGAAAGTAACATACTTTTGTCATTCCTAAACATAACAGAGCCCTGCACTTAATTTTATAGTTTTTATTCCCCCAAAGACCACCAGAGCCAGTGCTCCTGCACCCTGGTAAAGCACTAAAGCACCTGGAGGGTTGCAGGGGGAAACCACACACACAGAGCCTGCCTGATTCACTCATGACCTTAACTGACATCATCCTCAACTGACTTACCCCTACACAAGCATGTATTTGATTGTACAAAAAATAAAGTGAGGGCATAAGTCTTTTAAAGAATCCACTTCTGTGCAAGGGGCAAACCAGAGCTCTCGGTTACTTTATAACAGAGATCAAAGATTAAATTCATGCTCAAGAAGAACGAGAGTAACAGCCTCAGCTCCGAGAGGAACAGGTCACTTCACAATCACCACCATTAGCGAATGAGCAAAAATCATGGACCAAAAATACTCTGAAAAGAGGTTTCTGGGTTGGCTAAACAGAAATAAACAGAGTTGTGCATACAGGCTCTTGCTCTACAACTTCTGAGGAGCTGCTCGACTGAGCCGATGCGCTGGGACATTCCATTGCTGCCACACCAGGGCCCCCCCCGCCACCGTCCCGGGGCTATTTCAGCACAGCAATTACCGTGGGGCACCATTCATTTTAAAGATTGATGATATTTTATCTGTGGTACATTTTCAAAGTGATATCACCTTGTTTGCAAAGCTGACTTCACACAGGAGCTTCACTGAATCATCCAATTTCTTAAGTGACCATTATACTCTTACCGACTGAATACGACAGCAGAATAAAACCTGCAAGAGTCTGTGCCCTCGCGGGAGCTCAGGCTGCATGGAACACCACGGCTCAGAAGGGATTTTTAGTCAAGGAATGTATTTTCCAGAAGAAACTAAGCACTGACAGTGCTAGGTGAAAGAACAGCCTACACATAATAATCCCGAAGCCTTTACTATCACCATGGTTACAAGCGGTCGCTTTACCCCGTAACCATAATCTGAGCAGAAAAAGCAGCAGTGTTTATAACTCAGTCCTTGCAATGCGTTTTTTCAAAAACTAGTTTCTGAATGTTGGAAAAAGCAAAACACGGCCATCACTATTAATCTCAGTTGTTTTTTCACCTTGATCTCTTGCATCTTAAAGATCACACAAGAATTACCTACTCTGCAGGGAAAAAACCCAACAAACCAAACCACAAACCAGAGGCAGGCTAGTTTTACAGGCTTAGGAAGAAAATAAAAATTACCAGTACCAGAGCATCATCTTCCCTGCAGCACCAGTAAGTTAATCAGTGAGAGCAATTAAAGCAATCCACTGTTGGCTGCAGCCCCTCTGCACTAAGTAGTTTCTCTCCTCGGAGGATAAGGGATCCGAGGGCTGACTGTCCCACAAGCCCTCTGCAGCCCTCCTATGCTCCTTCCTCACTGCAGCCCGCTTGTCCGCCCGCCTGCTCTCCGTTCCTTCACAGGAGAGGGAAGGCCACTCTGGTAAGTCACGGCTTCTGCAGAATTTATGGGCAGCAGCTCCAGCTCAAAGCCCTCGCTATCCCGCGCAGTCGTGTCTGTTCCGACAGCACACACAAACACCGGGTGGCAATCCCTGTGTGCGTGGTCTGGGAAACAGCCAAACCACCCACCACAAACACAGGGAAAGGGTCTTGCATAGACAGTCACCACACGGAGATGCTTTTTGCTACAAAAATCTGATTAGAATGACAAAAATTAATATTAACAACAATATATTCCAAGCCACTGTTCACTTTGCACCTACTGTACACCGAATCTTAAACACAAAGTTAGACCTACTATTATTCAGGTCTGAGATTCGGATTAAATAGATTTCAACCGAATACGCGGTATCTGTCAACCAAGATCATTAGCACAATATTAAAAATATTTTGGATTGCTTTTGCGGCCAAGCTTACAACAAAATTTCTATTGCACAAATGAGGGAAGAAAAAGAATTCTCCCCTGCAGTCTGAATAGCTCTCAGATAGCCACAGATCACCTGCATTTCATCCAGTTCTAAGTTCAGCAATATTTTTCTCTGCAGGAACTTTTTTAGCCAGTGCCTAATGGACAAGCTGGCCAAACTGCCAAAGCAGAAACCAGCTGAAGAGAAAACGTTTCTTTCCAGAATAATATAAAATCGGTTTATGGCCCTAGAACTAATACAACTGAATCGGGCACAAAATGATGAAAATATGGATAGAATATACAGTAAGCTAGGCCAACAGTCTAGCCAATTGATTTGTTGTTGGGCAAGTTTACCAGATATTTTCTGAAGATCAGAAACACGGGATTAAAAGGAGGGAAAAACCTTCTCAGCATGACATCGCAGAATTGTCCTGGCAATTTTTCTGGTTTTGGGCCAAAGAAGTCTCTTCAGACACCTGAATAAAGAGCCTAAAGAGCCGGGAGACACCACACGTACTTTGTAAAGGGTCAGAGCCAGGGATAGACATCGACCTCCTGGCTGTGACCCTCCTGGCGGCAGGACAGGGCAGGAGGGGCCATTACTTGCTTCCACAGAGACGCAGTGCTGTTTGTTTCCAAATTGTTATGATTTAGTGCGATTCTGCTCTTATAAAGCCCACCCAAATCATGTATTTCAATTTAAAGCATACTGGCTGAAAGCGTTTTGCAGGGTGGTGGGGTTTTAAAGAAGCAGCAGCATGAAAATATGCTGATTTATGACCGGGAAGTCATTTTATACAAATAGTTTTCTTTGAATAATTGGATTATTGATGCACTGACAGCTTTTATTTCTGTTTTCCCCACTTACAGTCAGTTTGCATATTTTGTACATTCTACAGCACTTTACAACTCATCAACTTCCTTGCTTATTTAGGTCAGGTAAATATCAAAGGACACCAT